CTGTTTCTTCATGAAAGTTTAGACTTTTCAATTTATAAATCATTTACCAGAAAATTTGATTCTACAATCTACCAACATTACTCCCCTGAAGTTTTTATTTCTTTTCTTAAATGCAGACATAGGCATTTTGGTGAAATTTTATTTATTAACTTTTGATTTAATTGTATCATGGTCAGGGATCATTGTATTAGTTTTTTTTTCTTTTTTAAAAGATACATTAAGTTTTGATATAATAGTTTTCTTTGATTTTATCTATGATCAGTTGTATCCATGCTGCTGATAGATCATCAGATCAAAGACACAAGACTACCAGGAACTTTGGCAAGAAAAGTTTCTGAATGGGGAAAGAAAGCAGAGAAAGCCCATCTGAAAGAGCTGAGTATGAAGAAGGAAAGCAGATAGTGGGCACTCAGGGAGAGAAAAAAAAAAAAACCAAGAGTTTTGGATGTGAGAAAAACTAGAGGATAAAGTGAATTTGAGAAAAGTTTGTTGTTTACTAGATAGGAGAAGGTTGCATATAATTAATTACTGATGGGAAGAAAAGTGATTAAAAAAAAAAAAGCACAGGAGGGATAAGGTGTATGACAGTTCCTGAAAGGATATCTTTAAGTTTGAGGTTTATAATCTAGAGAAACAAGGCCATCTGAATTTGGATTTCTCTACTGTGGCCATTGTAGCAGGCCTGTTGCAGAAACAACATGGAGGCTGCAGAAGGTGGAGGAGATGTGAGGGATAAAAAACAGATCCAGGAATTTGGCTGCCTTCAGGATGAGTCCTAAATTCCCCATGCCACCTCCTGACTTGTGGGCAGTGATCTGGACTATCTTTCTTATCCTTGTGAGTAGTGCTGTGGAAGCCAGATCTGCCTTATGTTATCATAGAGCCATCCTATGGTATAGGGAGGTACTTTCTTGTTCAGCTTCTGGATCACATTGCAGCAGTAGAAATCTTCATGTGGTAGTGGTGGCATGCTAGCCAGTAAAGAGCTTTAGTAACTCTCTGGCGCCCTGAGCCAGGAGTCCTGTGGTGCCAGGCTCCACTCACTCTGGGCTGTTCAGCTTTGAGTGTGAGTCAGTAAATGGTCTTTCAGCAGCTTGTGTCTGTATTGTCATTCTCATTCAGGTCCCAGGACCCATCTTCATAGAATCTTTTGGATACAGTTGACAGTTCAAAACATTCTTTGAGCAGCACTTGGGGATGAAATGTTACAGAGGGCTGCCCACATCCCTGTCACTATCAGCTACTCCTACGCCCTCCTAAGACTTTATATCCCCAATGCCCAACGCAGTCCCTGGCTCAGGGATATCATGTTAGATGAGGGATGTGAGGAAAGCCTCGATACTGATGAGTCCATCTGTCTTATTCACGAGCCCTGAAATCTCTAGGGAGTCAAGGCTGCTACAATTGGTAATTCCACAGCATTGCTGTTTCCAGAATCCTCTCAAATGCAGCTTGAGAAGCTGAAGCCATCCTAGACATTTGAGTTCCCAGGGTCACTGAGTCTCAACTGAGGATCCTGGGTAGAAGCACCTGGAGGCACTGTCCTTCTCTGCCAGTCCACCAGTCCTTCAGAATCTGAAATTCTGGATTTTCCCAACATTCACATCTTGCCCCAGGACTTGGCCACTAGTGAGGATGAGGCCACGTCCTAGTCCTTGATGGGATTTTTGGTGTATCCCAGGTTGCCTCCTTTCGGATACACTGTTTCATTTCAGCCTGTTGCACAGGTTTTCACTGGCTGCCATTCCATTCTTGTCACCAGGCTCCTACTCAGGCTTCAGGCTGCTGTCCCAGGTGCTACCACCTTTTTCAGACAAATGAAGATCAGAGCTTATCCTCATTCATCACGTGCACTGCTTTAAACATGTTTTGGATACTTCTAGGATTCCAGTAGAAAGCTTGTGTCTTTGTTGTGTTCTCTAGAATTCAGTGTCTCCTTAGGAAAGTCTAGGTGAGAAGCCAGGAGTAAGTGAATCTTTGTGGTTATGGGTTGCAACTGGGCTGTAGGCCCATCAGGGAGGAGTTAAGAGAGGAGACAAGGCAATCAATAGAAGTACAAGTTTATGAGAACAAGAGCTATCCCAGGGAAGTTAAAGCTAGCCCCTTGGACTAGAAGCACTGGGAAGACCATGATGCTCTCTAGGGTATTAAATATATATAGTGCTGTCCAGGGGCCTCACAGAGTGCTGGGGCTGTTTTTGTGGAGCCAATGCCAACCACCCTGGGTATGCCAGTAGAAAGGAGGAATGGGCCTTAGGCTCTCTGCCATTCCTGGACCTAAGTCATCTCTTAGGAAGGACTCATGAAGGTGATGCTGAGGGTGCTCTGAGTGGTGCACTGTAAGTAGAATCAGGCCCTCCTCTGCTTAACTCCCTGTGTGACCTTGTGTGTGTCCAGGTCCAGCCTTCTCATTGCCCTAGTTAGGCTAGTCCCTCTCCTATTTGCATCGTGCTGGTCTGTTGTTTCCAAAATGAGTAATCCTCTTTCGTCCTTGTCTGACATTGTTTTTAAGAATTCGTTAAAGATATCTTCCTTTGCTAATAAAACATTAGCTGTAAATGATTTATGCATGCTGATTTTAAAAAAACAGAATTCTTGAACACAAGTTTAGGCTAGTACTTTCTTCTGATAGTGAGAAGTAATGAAATGGGTCAAGGAAATACTACACAGACTGATGCAAGTGGTATCACATTGAAATAATTCTTGTCTTTAGATGGTTTCATTTGTATTCATCTCATTGTTTGAGTTGCTAACAGCTTTATAAGAGTAGAATGTATACACAATTTAAAATCACAACTATACCTTCTTTCTTTCACAAAATAATGAATGATATTTCCTCAAAAAATTGTTTGCTAGTAAATATGTAATTGATAGGATGCACAAGCAAGATTAATAGGTTATAATCAAAACAGTCTTTTTCTCTGTCATTTTCAGAATGTACTAAGCAGAACAGAATTTTCCTTAACTTTGTATGAAATTCCAGACTCACTCTTATTTACTATAAAGAATCCTATAGAATTTAAATTGCAAACACATTTAAATAATGGGTGAAATTGTTTAGATCAGATGAAAATCAAATGTCTGACCTGTTTTGAAGCTCTATTTTCTTTCTCTGTTCTATATGTTCTCTCTATTTATATGTACTTAGGTCCTTCCTCCCTTACTGAATTGGTAACTGTTTATTGTTGTTGTTTGAGGAGATTGAACTCAGGGCCTTATACCTGTTGACACATGCTCTACCACTGGGCTACATCCCAGTTTTTGTCCTTCTAGTGGGGAGGGGAAAATCACATAGTCCTTTGTGGGAAGTACAGCTGTCACCTGTGGTTAAAATCCTGTATGTGAGAAAGGCAGTACTGCCAATCCTTTCTCACAATCTTAGAGCAGTTTTTTTTGAGGGGGAGACCCTTCTGAGACAGTTGGTGGGCAGTTCTCTGGATGAGAGTGACTCATCCTTTATTCCTCCTTCCCAATCGTGCTTCCCATTCAGCTCCTTCAGTCAGCACTCCCTAATGTTTGTCGCTGGTCCTCGGCCAGATTTTTATATAACTCCAGGTTGCCTGGAGGAAGAATGCGAAAGTATGCCTTTCTATATATCCTTCCAGTACTTTTCAGTAGCTACAGCTACTCACACCTGAATAATTCAGAAGTCCTCTATTAAATGCCACTAAGATTCCAAGGAACTCACATTAGACTCTCTAAAGAGCTTAGGTGATGTATGTCTTAGACTTAGGCAACAGGATAAGCAACCATTCCCTTGGACACAGAGACTTTGTCTATAATACTAATTTTTTCCCGTGTTAATTCCCACCAAATCCTCTTCCTCTTTCTATTTTTTTTTTACTTCTTCTGCTTCAATAAAATCAAGATGAGCATTGCCAACTACAGATTTAATCTGTTCCTTAGAAAATGTTTAGATTGGTCTTGTATTGTATTTCATTTTGTTATACAGGATCCATTTTTTATATTTGTTCATGAAGTAGAAACATGATATTGATATTTTAAGAAAAATACTGATATTTTAAGAAAAAACAAAATTTGAACATTTGGAAAATTTGACTAATCATTTTAATATGTGCACGTGTTTAGAATTGTTTACTGAGGTGGTGGTGTTCAATAACACGGTAGTTTGCACTAAATAGTTTTGAAAGAGCTAGCGACATAATTAGCCTTGTCTCTTTATGTCATTTGATTGGAGAATAAATTGTAACCCAGAAATACTAAAGGTAGAGAGAGTTAATACATGATTGTATTGGTGTTAGTAAGAGAAAGGGGATGACAACATTTGAATGGTGACTGTCGAAATGAAAAAGTTCCAATGAAATAGATATTATGCACATAGAAATTAGAATCTGCTAATTGAATGGATATTGTACATAATAAAGTGTGTCTTAAATAATTGGAATATGATTCTTAGAGAAAACAACAAAGTAAAAATTAAGATGAATTCATATGGATAAAACCGATAATGTGTCGCTATTTCCCAGCTGAATGTTTCATTTAGTATTTTGAAGTAATAAAAGAATAATCTCAGAATCTCAATCATCTCAAAGGATAATTTTAGGGCAAAACACACACGCTTTTAAAAAACACAATATATAGGAATATTTGTTAGCATTATCAGTAGTAATAATACTAAAAGTAATAGCTGAATTTATTTAATGCTTGATATATGAGAAGTACTATTATTTATTTTCTGCAGGTAAGGAAATTAAGCCTGAAGAGGTTAAGTAAATTGTCTAAAGTAAAACATAGAGATTATAGATATACATTTTGAAATTAAGGTGCTGTAATCTTGCTTTAACTCTTGGAAACCCATTTAAAAAGTGTCAGGAATGATGAGATAAATGTTTGAAGTGAGGAGAAATATTTTGAGAGTGATTCATGGCAATGTGTCTTTCACTATAACACCTTTTTAAATATTCACTGCATATTTTGATCACACTTTAAATGTTTGTGATGTAGAATACTCAATATTATTTTTGGTTTTGAACTTACAGCTTGTACATGCAGTGGCCATGCAAATATTTGTCATTTGCACACAGGAAAATGTTTCTGCACAACAAAAGGAATAAAAGGTGATCAATGCCAATTGTAAGTACCAATGATTTTTAAAACTTTTTCTTTTTTAATGTACCTTGTATTATCCATACTTGATGAAGTTAAGAGGGAGGTGAAATCATATATGATTTTAGGGCACTTCTTATAAGAAAGGTCTTTTGGTCATAAAAATCAATGGAACTAAATTAGAATCCTATGTGTTAAAACAGAAGATTGCGCCTAATATTTTATGACTAAAGCTTGGTTGTAAGTTGAGCCAACTTCATGGCCTGTGAATTTGCACAGGGGCCCATGCCTAGAAGCACATCACATTAAATGTTTTTCTGTTACTATTTTGAAATTCCAAATAATTTTTAGCAAAAAACCCTACATTTGTATTTTGCAACATCTTACCCCAATGTCTTAAATTATACTAGATCCTGGTCATGAATAGTGTGATTTGTTTGGATTAAAGCCTTTGTTGATTGGATAACAATATGAAGCAATGAAAATAATTTCTATAGACTATAGTTACAGTATTACAGACAAAAATGAAATGTGTTTCTACCATGATCCTAAACATGGAAAATGTTTACTGTAGATTTTCATAAATGATATTATCATATATCTATTTATAGTCATTACTCAGTGTCATGTTTTTTGATTCTAGAAAAGAGAAAACAGTATTATAATTCATTGAAATCTTGGGCTTATTAGCCTATGTAATATGGAGTTAATATGTAAGCAATTTAGAAAATGTATAGTTCTAAGTGTCAACATACATTTTGCAGATGTTCTTATTTATACATTTTTAAAAGTGGAGAAATAGAAATACCAAGTTGTAAGGAGTATTTTATAGATACTGGATGGATGTCACTCATTACCTTTATGTATTGGGTAATGCTACTTTTAGTATTGGTTAATAAAGAATAGGGCCGCCATTCTTAAAGCAATTATTTGCTGTGGTATTTTTATATTAGAAAAAATGTTGTTAGGGAGCAGAGGTAGTCATTTAAATCCATACATAATTATAGTTAGTGCTCAATTCTATTAAGGAAAATGAATAACACAATTTTTTTGCCTAAGGAATTTTTCTGATTTGTGGTGAAGTGCTAGACAAAGTACAACATATTAATTTATTTTGTAGTTATTTGGCATGCCTATGAACCCTTCCCTCTTCTCAGGGTAACTTTTTGGCTTTATGTGTATAATCAAGATGTCACATCTTGTTGTGTATTTTATATAACCTTCCTTATCTGACTCTGCTTCTTCTATTTCCTAATTCCTTCTTTGTATTACCAGTGTACTTGTCTATCCTTTGCTGTAGTGAATTTCTTTAGGGACTCTTATATCAGTACCACAATATGATTATTGAGTGAATTTATTTATGAAATGGAATGAAGTAAGTATTAATGGGATACTAAATAGGGAATGATTAATTCCTTCTGGAAGGATAAGGAAAGTTTGAGCAAGGACTGTTTAGGTGGAACTTGAACAATGGGTCAAATTTGGGGTATAAAGATGAAGGGGAAACAGCATCAGTAAAAGAAATAAAAAAGAATGTAATAGTAGTATTTCCAGAATTCCTCAAGGATGTAGACAGCTGAAAAGAACCTCGTTCCCACTCTTGCACTTAGAAAGACTGAAATTCATGAGTTTTCTTGAAGCCGTTACAGAATTGAGATCATAGGGTAACCAGTGGCTAAAAAATTTTATAAAAGACAAGAGCCTGCAGGAGCCTTGAAACATGAATATTTGCTTACTTGGAAACTGGAAGACTTAAGTAGGGTGGTAGATAAATTCCCAGAGGTTGACTATACACTGTCAGTAGTGTGAAGCTTGTGAGACCCATGGAATCAGTGGGGTCTTTCCTGTTTTAGTCTTTTCTTTCACATATTCAACAGTTTTTCATGGAAATAATTAGAGAAGATTTTGAGAAAAGCTCACCGAAGGGAATGCCAGCCACATCAGGTAGAGCATAAGAGGTGTGATTAGACTTTCCATTTAAAAGGTGCCAAATTATTCATATTGCCATGAAAATGACAGTGTTCAATCTAGTGTTGGCCTAATACACAGTTGGCAATAAAAGTGGTAATTTTAAAAAATAAGGAAACATAAACTGTAATATAAATATAATTGGCAATGTAGTGTTTTAAAGAATATTTAGTTTTGGGCAATGACGTGATCTTAAAGAATACTCTTTTTATAAAATTTCTTCAGTTTTACAATGTGAAGCAACATGTATTTAGTCTGCAAAGTATCTCTCTCAGTTAAACTCATGTTCAATGTAATAGTATAAAGAAATTTAGCTTTTTTCTTTCAGCCCTCTGATGACAATTTTTGTAATAGAAAGTAGTGTTCCCTAATGATAAGTAAATGGGAGATATGATAACAATAGATAAAAATTTGGGTAAGTTGTTGTAGCCAGTGCTTATAATGCATCTTGGCAGCTCCTGTAGCTCATATGATTTCACTAAAGGTATAGAGGACAGTTCTCTACATTTGACAGTATCCTGCATCAATCACAAGTCTCTATTCCCTTGCCAGTTACAAAGTTTCTTATTTCTGCCCAAGTGCAACGAGGAAGTGTTAGACAGTTAATGCCAGTGTGAGTAGTCTTCAGCCAATATGGACTAGTAGTTCTCCTACGATTCCCACTTTTCACCAAGGCTGCCTGAGATCATTACTCATAGAAAATATGAATACCCAAGTCCACTTGGTGAGGTATCTCTACTGAGTCATTTGCTACTGACTCTACTAGTGGCTCTAGATAACAGATCTTCATCATGAGGTTTTTATAAATGATGAGTTATCCGTTCGCACTCAGTACTATGATGTGGATTATAAGTGCGCTAGGGTTTAATCTGATTAATATAGTCATTATTAAGAATCTTATATGTGTTAAATTGGGGTAATGTATAGCTTTGAGGAGAAGCATTAGTGTTTATGTATTATTAGCACTTGAAAAGTATGATAATTATAAGAATTATAAACTTGGCAAGTTTTTTCCTGTATATAACCTTGAAAGGATAATTTGTCATCACCTCAGCCCATGGTATGAACATCAGCACACCTTCAATAATAGCATTTAAAGACATTTATCTCATGTCACCATAGGGAAGATAATGTTGAAAATCATTCCCAGAATTAAATCGTAAAGCTTGTTGAGGGCAAATGAAACTGAAACCTCAGCCATGACAGTTCTTTTATGCCAAAGTCACTGCCTAATGGGAAGGAGTGGGACTTTTAAAACGTTGAATGGTGATTCTTATTAATATCACCTCAGAACTTAAAATCCTAGATACCCTCAGCACTTCTAGTTGGAAAAAAAGTCCAGTATTTTTTGCTAAAGTAGATTAGCCTCTCTTTCCTTGAAATCAATGCAACAATTTCACCTGAGGGTTATGCGTCATAAAAAGAAGTTTATCCTCTTATAGAGCATCTTCTGCCTCTACTGGGAAACTTCAACATTTTTCATTTCATAGTTCTGGATCCTAGGCAGTCTGAGGTTGAGGGGCCACAGTGGGTGAAGGCCTTTTTTGCTAATGAGGACTGTGCAGTGTCTCACAGTGGCACAGAGAATCACAGACTGAAGGTGTATACAAGAGACCGAGTCAAATGTGCTTTTAGGACTGACTTACTCTTGAGATAACACATTAATCTATTAAGCCACAACTGGATTAATCCATGTATGAAGGCAGAGCCTTTATGACAATAATCTCTAAAAGGCCTCTTAGTTTTTCACAATGAGGATTAAATTTCATCTTGAGTTTTGGTGGGAACATTGAATAAATAGTGCCCATTAACTCTCTGTATATTCATGGATGTCTTCCAGGTGTTTCCTTAATAAGATAGTAAGGAGTACAACAATAAGGGGGAACTCTGTAGTTTTTGTGAAATTCAGCAAGTAGCTATTTTCTGTAAGCCACAGTATATTGTGGAAGATGTTGCCGAAGATATATGTTCTGTAGTATCAAAGGACATTTCAAAATTCCAGAATAAAAGAGGTCCCATGGTAACATTTAACTCTTAAACATAGATATAAGTAATAGTCCAGAAGGCCAGATGGTCACCAGAGAATATTAGCTGGCAGGATTTGCAGTAATGACTAAGAGTGTTGAGAAACACACTAGATTATTGCTTAATTTATATCCTCAGGAACAAATACAAACCATCAGCCAGTAAGCAGACAGTTATCAGCTGCATAAGTGGAAAATTAAGACTCTGTGAATGTGATCTAGATCTTCATTTGCAGAGTCTATGGACCCCCAAAATAACATTAATTCACTTAAAATTATATTTAAATCAGGTCAGTGATGTACCTCTGTAAACCTGGCAACAGGATTGCTTGAAGCAGGGATAGGCTGGGCAACAAGCACAGAAAGGCCCTATCTCTTTAAAAAAATCTGTTTATCACTGTTAATATGCACCAGAAGGAATTACACTGATAGTTCAGAAGACACTATTGATAAATTTTAGCTTAACATTTACTGATTGTGGAAAAGAAAACAATGTTTCTGATTTGGCCTAGGAAATAGACATTGTGTATTATGTCCTAATTTAATAATTACTTTTATTTTATTTACTTATTTGTTTATTTGGTACCAGGGAACAAACTCAGGATCTTGGGTTTGTGAGGCAGGAGGTGGCACCACTGAGCTATATCCCTGTCCCTTAAACATTTTTTAAAAATTATATTTATTTTAACTGATACATAAAAATTACACATAATGGAATTATGTAATGGAATTTAGTACATGTGTAAATTGTGTAATCAAATTAAATATATCTGTCAGATGTTCAATCATTTATCATTCCTTTATGTGAACACATTCAAAGACCATTTCTTGCTTTTTCAGAGATATAATGCTAACCACTGTTTATAGTCCTCTGTGGTTCAATAGCGCACTAGAACTTCTTATTCTTCTCACTCCTATGTAAGTGCAACTTAATTCCATTGATCATATTTTCCCCATCCCGTCTACTCACCACCCCACCCTCCAGTCTCTGATAACCATTGTGAATTTTTATGATATCAACATTTTATATTCCAC